TTGTGTGTGTGGCCAGCTCAGCCCACCAGGGGGCGGGTCTGGCTGGCATGTGGTGTTGGGGATCGAACCGCGGTCCCTGTGCTTTGCCAAGCTTATTTCAAGTAGGTGCTTTAGACCACTGAGCCATCTCACCAGCCCCTACCCTTGCTTTTTTAAAAAATCTTTTTAAATGTGTATGTATGTGTGTATTTTTGGTGGTAACAGGGATCAAACTCAGGACCTTGTGCTTGCCAGGCAAGCCCTTATTCCACTGAGCTATCTCCCCAGCTTTTTTTCCCCCCGGCCAGCTCATCCCTGAGGCTGCCACGGCATGTGGTGCCAGGGATCCAGCCTTGGTCCTCTGCACCTGCCTAAGCTTGCCTAAAGCAGAAGCTGTAGACCACTGAGCTATCTCTCTCCAGCTTTTTTAATCTTTTAGAAAGAGAAAGATATTTGAGGCTGGGAGGCAGACGCAAGAGCTTGGGAAATTTAGTGACAGCAAAACCCTATCTCCAACCAAGCAGATGGGGATATAGCTTAGTGCCAAGGCCCTTGGTTCAATCTGGAGAGTACTGAAAGAAAAAGGAAAAGAGGAGGAGGAAGAAGAGGAGGAGATCTCAGCTGCTAGTCACTTGGAAGGCTAAGACAAGAGGATCACAAATTCAAGGTCCTTTTGGGCAACTGAGAGACCTTGTTTCATAATAAAGAAGAAAAGAGTATTTTACAAAAAAATCTTGGGGGCCGGGGAGATGGCTAGGTAGAATAAGTGCTTCCCTGGCAAGTGCAAGGGGCTGAATTCAATCCCCGGTTCTAAAAAAAAAAAAAAAAAATCTTTCATTTACGTATTTAATAAAAGCTCTCCTCACTATGCAGCTCAGCCTTGTAGTGATCCTCCTGTCTCAGCCTCTCCGACGCTGAGATTACAGGCATGCACCACCACACTTGGTTTCAGTGGCCAGCATGGCCCATCTGGGGTTCCACCTGCATGGCATGCAGTACCAGGGATTGAACCCTGGTCCTTGTGCTTGCTAGGCAGGTGCTTAGACCGCTGAACTATCTTCCTAGCCCCAAGAATATTAGAAGAATGAAGGAAAAATGTATCAATATAGGTTATAATGCATAATAATATAGTGAATAATAGTAGGCTTGCTGGTCCTCCCAAATTTCCCCTCTAGAAAAATATCTGTTGGCAGATGAGCAATTTAGGGTCAAGTGTCCAGCTTTCCTACCAAGCAACTTCCAATTTTTATTTTTATTTTATTTTATTTTATTTTGCGGAACCAGGGATTGAACTCAGGCCCTTGCGCTTGCCGGGGAAGTGCTTATTCCACTGAGCCATCTCCCTGGCCCTGCAATTTCCAATTTTTAATCATCATATTTTATTTAAAACATTTATATTTTGTTCTGTGACTATAATTAGGTCTTCTGTGTTTTATTTGAAGTTTGAGTCCAAAATTGAAAAAATCCGGGCATGGTGGTACACACTTGTGATTTCAGTGCTCGGGAGGCTGAGGCAGGAGGATCCCCTTGAGTTCAAGGACAGCCTGGGCTACATAGTAAGTTTAAGGCCAGCCTCATGGTGATATTCTCTCTCAAAATACTAAATGAGTGAAGGAATAAATAAATGAAATTGTAAAGCAATGGACAGCATCATGAATTTTTTTTTTTTTTTTTTTTTTTTTTTTTTGCGGAACCAGGGATTGAACTCAGGCCCTTGTGCTTGCCAGGGAAGCACTTATTCCACTGAGCCACCTCTCCAGCCCCAGCATCATGAATTTGTAAATATCATTCATGATTTTTTTTTTTTTTCCAGTAGCCGCGGGCGGCTTGGAGCTGCCCTGATTTACTCGGAAGTGCGGGGAAACAACAGTGGGTTGGGAAGGTCCAGTGTAGTCGCTTTACAACAACAACCCCCCAGTGGGTGCAGCGGGTCCCCTGGTGGCTGCCGAGCTGGGCGCAGGGCTCAGACCCTGGCGGACCGTCAGCCTCGTCCGCTCCCAGCACGGCTCTAGTCCCGGAGCACAAGTGGCACCTTCACCTGCTGTGCCACCTCCTTGCCACTGAGCGCCTCCACAATGGCCAGCGTGGGCTTGAAGCTGGTACCTGGCCCGCGGCGGGGGAGTCCCTGGCCGTCCCTCTCCACGCGGCTCTCACGGTAGCTGTAATGAGTCCCATTCATCACTTTGTCTTTAGCAAGTGGGTGTGATGTAACTTGCTTCCAGAGCCTATTTCATGAGCCAGCAGAGCTGCAGGACCTGCAGGGATGGCGGCGACGAGGCCCTTCCCGCCCTCCTGCTCCCTCGGGACCTCCTTTCCGGCTGGCAACTCCGACCAGTCCTGCGCGCCAAAGGGGAGAACCACCACGTGGTCGTAGGGGCGCTCCTTTTTTGCCTCTTAGAGACTTGTGTCAGGGCAAATGATGACATCACGGCTACACTGTACAGAGTCTTTCCCAGCCAGACCTGTAATGGTGACCTTAATCCCAGCACGGTGCAGACGTCCACGGGGGTGACTGTCTCCATCTCCTCAGCTCTTTTGGCCAGGATGACCAGGGCTCTCTTTGAAGCCATGTTTACGTTGCGCTTTTTTAAAGTCCCGACAACCTAAAGCCGGATGTGCATGCACCGCCCACCCGGTCCTCCTCGTTCATGTTTTTGTACTAAGAGATTGAACCTGTGGCATTTGAGTTACAGTGGGTACCCAGATATACATACATACATACATACATATATA